CCCCAGTAGGTGAATTTTGTCGAATGCCTGTCAGTGACGGAGAGGGTGGAGTGAGGATTTCCTAATCTTAGAAGTTTCAGACCCGCATCCTCTTTACGAAGCGAAATTTCTCCATGAAAATTTAGAATGGAAAAACTCAGAAAATCTCGCCTTCACGTTAATTGCTGTTGTTCTTTTTTTTACGAAACTTGTGATTGCCAACTGACTCTGTCAAACATTTTGTATTTCAGTAATACACTATACACCGGCGTGCAAACGTTGTGAGCCAATTATATGAAATGATTATACACTTTAATTTTAAGTTCAGATTGTTTCACTGTATGCGTTTATAAGTAGTGGCTTTGAAACTTGAATATTTGAAAATAAATTGTTGCATTTTGGTAAATGCCGTGTACCAGAGGGTTCTTGGCTTTATGCAACATAAAGTTGAAAAAGTCCATGCAAACCTATTGGGCGAATGAAATACATCTGATGATAAAGTTACGATAATATGCAAATTTCAAAGTAGGAATTGTTCCATCTAATTAACATGACTGTAAGATGCCATGACGATCATTTTACTAAAACATGCTTTTTGCTATAAAATAATGGCAAATTTCTTGCTGAAACAATGATAAAAGCTGGGAATTCGAGGAGAAAGATGACTTACGGGAGATATCCAGGCGGTAATTTCCAGAAACAATGTTTAAACCATGAAAAAGACGTTTTCTATTATGGGTGTTTGCTTTGGTTTGGTTTGGTTTACGGCATATCAACCTCAGTGGGATATTTCATGCCGACAAAATTTTATTGCTGCTAATATTTTTTCTTTCAAAAACAAATTGATAGTAATATTTTTTCCTTCAAAAATGTATTTCTGGTAATATTTTTTTCTTTAAAATAATATTGCTGGTAATATTTTTTCCTTCAAAAACTTATTGCTGATAATATTATTTTTCCTTAAAAAATGTATTGCTGGTAATATTTTTTCCTTCAAAAATGTATTGCTGGTAATAGTTTTTTTTTTCAAAAATGTATTGCTGGTAATAGTTTTTTTTTTCAAAAATGTATTGCTGGTAATATTTTTCCAAAAATGTATTGCGGGTAATATATTGCTGCTAATGAATTTTTGCTTCAATAATTTATTACTGGCAATAATTTTTACAAAAAAAGTATTTCTGGGCTTAACACATATTTTTACACTTTTATTGTGTTTTGACCCCAGTTTGGTGATTAACTATCTGCCCATAGCTGGGACTGTAATAGGTGCTACCACCCCGGATCAGGGTGGACCTGGGAACACCAGCAATTAAGAGGTGGTTCCACAGTTCTCACCCCCCCCCGATCAGCCTTGCTGTCAGTTGTAGTTTATCGTCTTACCCAGGCCGGACTACTCTAGATGTATTTTAAATACAAAGAAAACCGGAAGAACTCCAAAGTTTGACAAGAGATACGAAAGAAATTTGTGAATGTCTTAGTTGGTAATTCAAAATCAATAGCCAGAGAAGTGAGAAGTGAATGCTATTTTAATACTGAGGTTTCAGGTGATACACTACGTAGAATATTGCGAAAACAAATGTGAATGTGCGTATAGCAGTAACAAAAATCATTAACCAAACAACATCGGAATAGAAAATTGGATTTATCAAAAAGACATGTGACATGTGATGGCAGAAAGTCGCAAAAAGTAATTTTTTTTTGGTGAAAAAGATTTACGTTCTAATAAAAGAGAATGTATAAGAAGACCAATAGAAGAAAAGAAGCTACGCAAAATACGCGCCTCAAAGACCGTAAAATTTGGTGGATACGTAACAGTTTTGATGTTGCATCAAAAGCGATGGTAAAAAAGAATTGGTAAAAGTTGATGGTAACCTAAACAGAGAAAATTATATTAGTTTACGTCAGTCAATCTGCCATACAACCAAGATGGATTCATTTTCAGCATAATAGTTCTTTTCTCTATGCATCAAAAAGTTTTCTTGCGGATGAAGATGTTCAACTTTTGGATGACTGGTCGGCATAAAGTTCTGATCACAACATAATTGTACAATTGTGATGGCAATTGAAGAAACAAGTGCTCCAACGAAAAATAATAACGTCTTCAAGAGTTTAGGATTACTGCTAAGTAGAATGGGGGAAAATTTTAATTGAGAAAATTTGGGCTTTGTTCCATTCAGTGCCACATCAAATTGATGTTGTTATTCTAAGGCAACAACATTAATTACTAACTCCATACTTTGATGTTTTGTACATATTGTAATAATAAAGATCACTTTTTACAAAATAAAATGAGAAGACTAAAACAAGATAAAAAAGTGAGGGAAAGGAGACATCTGAATTTTGGTAGAGACTACAAAAGGAACAGCCAGTGAAATCAAGTGTCAATTCAGTCTCAACAGTGAAGTTTTAGTTGATACAGTACGCGGAATATTATAAAATCAAATTTAACAGGCGATAGTAGTAAGAGAATTCCTTGACCAAAAAGATAAAATTTTTAAAAAAGAGCTGAAAGGGGAAGTTTTTGCTCGTGACACAGTAATTTTTAAGACCCTTTTTCAGCATCACTATGCTTAAGATGCTCTAACATCCAACTTTAAGCATTAACGAAAATGCGATAACTTGATTCCTGACACTCAAAGATTATAAAATGTACTGACAAAAGCTTACTACTAAGCATTCTCGATTTGGGTGTAAAAGTAACGAAAGTAATTATCTTTCAAAGGTTGCCCCAAATTTTTGCTTCCAAGTGTAACCAGTGTAGACATAGGAATCAACACTGCATGGTGTCTGTCATTTTCACACCTCAATGCGATGTTCAGACTATCATATGATTTTTATTTCAGTATCACTATGCGTAAGATGCTTTATAAGCCACCATAAACCATTAACGAAAATGAAGTAACTTGTTTTCTATCCCGCAAATGTCATAAGATGTACCGAGAAAAGCATGTTGCTAATCACTTTCGATTTTGCGGCAAAATTAACAAAAGTAATTAATTTACCAAAGTGGCAAAAATGGTTTTGCATGTAAGTGTATTTTCATCAATCTGTGTGGCTGTTTATTAATCAGATTTCTTTTCTTTTCCTAATCCTTATCATTAATGTACTCTCCAATATTTCACACACACACACAATGATACGCTAAAACGTGGCCTTAAGTTCCACAGAAAGCCAAGAAATATACATTGATGATGCTATGAATGTATATGAACATGGTTTTAATAAGATTGAAACGTTTGCATCAATCTAATATTATTTACTTAAGAAGTATGATTACAATGAAATGTTTGAGCATTACTCAGAAGTGTTTGCTACCTTTAACTTTATAATGCTTGGATTATTTTGAGTTAAGAATTATTAATGAAAACATTAAGAGGAAATGATGCTATGTATATGGGTCCGTAGTTTGACAATCTCAGCCATGAGATAAGTCTTTTTTTTATACTCTCCTCTTTTTCTGGCATAAACATCATGCCGCAATTTATTATTATTATTATTATTATTATTATTATTATGGTTTATATCCACCGAAAGTCGAACAAATTATTAAGAGATAGGGAAGTTTCCTTGGAAACGAAGAAAAGAATATTTACATTATTCGGACAGTTATCCTCATCTTCATTGCCATATTCACAATGACCTTCTTAGGGTGATTGGAATTTCGATTCGAATCATTTATTTAGTACAACGGGGTAGATTGTTCTAATCCCACGTGCCATGCCTCTTCCAGATGTCTCAGTTATTTCCCTTTAATTCAACTCTTCAAGTTTGGTTCACCACTGCTGTGGCCTGGTATTGAACTCACAACTCTTTGGGTCAAGTCACTGGATCTAACCAACCACTGGGTCATGTGTCCTTGAGAACATTTGTGTATGATTTTTTTGCGACTTATAAACCTGATGTCTCGGTAACCATTTTTTACCAATGCTCATATTGCAATTTTTCTGTTATTATTATTATGTATCTTACCAGAGCTTATATTGCATTTTTCGTTGTTATTCATTGCTTTTCTCTTGCACTCCTTATGACTGGTTCCTATATTGTATTCATTTCTATGCTTGGTCGGCTCAGGAGATTTTTGTGACCTAGGATACGTTTTGATTCCTTAAGTTTTAATCTTAAAATTTTAATCTTTTAATTTTAAATCTGAAGGACACATGGCCCAGTGGATAAATACGTTCATTAGGTCCAGTAACTAGACCAAAAGATTTGTGAATTCAATATCCGGCCACAGCAGTGGTGAACCAATACTTGGTGAGTTCAGTTAAAGGGAAATAACTGAGACACCCGGAAGAGGCATAGCACGTGGGGCAGGGAACAGTCTACCCCAGTGTATGCAATAAATGTTTCGGTTCGAAATTCCAATCGCCTGAAGAAAGCCGGAGCATATAACGGCCGAAACGTTGTGAATATGGCAATGAAGATGAGGATAACAATCCGAATAAAGTAAATAATCTCATCTCAAAGATATAGACAGATATTGAAGAAAAGAGTGTTGAATTACTATGTCCTATCTATCCCCCTGTAGAATAGTGAATTTGGGATAGTTTCCTTACGGGTGAAGAAGAAGCATGAGAAGTGATAGAGATGTGCTTATGTAAATTGAGGGAAAAGCGGACAGAAAGAAGCAAGGAGAAATGTTAAATATTACTTAGAGCTACACGGTTCAGGAAACTGTGGAGATCCAAGAACATCGACGTCCAAAAGAGACACGGTACAAAAAAAAGAAGTAAGATTTTCTTTCTTTCTTTCTTTCTTTAATCTCCATCACATTCTTTATTTTTCCTATTCTCTTTGTCATTTTCTTTCTTTTATTGTATATTTTTGCTAGTCTCACTTCCTCTCATTTTTTCAACGTTCTTTCTTTTCTTTTTCTTTTCTGTTTTCCGTTATTCTTTCTTTTTCTTATCTCTCACAATTTCTTTTTTTTCAAATGTTATCGCGGGATTAGGGCGAGTCATAGCAGATTTTACAAGGACTGAAGATATGGATTTAATTCAAGCGTTCTTCATTCTAAACCAATGTGTAATAAGGAGTATTACCCCACCGGTATCGGGATCGGATATTTTGTGCCGTAAATTCTTTTTTAAGCTATAGTTCCACGTGTTTTATTCTTTTTCATTTATACAGCATGTCCTAAAAGTCATTTCGGTTTCTAGAAATATCATAGCATGTTAGATTTTTTATACTTTCGACTGCTTTTAACGCTGGAGAATCACTAATGGAAAAATTCACAACTAATTTCGCGAAATTCCGATATTTTTGACCACCACTTCCCTCGATTTGACGCCTTCCGTTGATTTTTTTGGACGTGTGTACATCAATAGACAATTCAAAAATTCAAAGATAACATCTGTGCAGAAATTCAAATGTTTATCTAGTGTTGTTAATCACTCTTATGGAGAATGGTATCGAAGGCGCGCATCTGTGTTAAATCGCGAATGGGGAATATTTTCGTCGTATAATTTTCCATAATAAAATGGAAATATATTTCCAGGGTTTGAATTTTCTTCCTGTTATATTCCATACTAATAGGAATATATACTTCAAAAACAAAGTATATAAAATAAGTAAAGGTTTATTGTAAAAAACCAGTACAATAAGAATAAAGGTAACAGTTATGCACAAGGTCATTGCAGAGTCAATCCAGTAGTGAGTACTACTATTGGAAGGTCGGTAGGTTAGGGTATGTCTGAGTCGTATTTAACGGATCCCAGCTCATTATATTTACCAGCCTTCCCATGGGGTAGGATGTGGCACAGGGCCGAATTTAATGTGGGGCAATCCGAGCCCGTAGGCTCGGCCAAAAATTCCCGTAACCCCCGCATAAACGGGTTTGGGTCTGTCTACCTCCCCGGACGAGACTCTGCCCTTCATCCGGATTCCTCTCTGTCGGAAGGTAGAGAGTTAGACAACAGACAAGACATATGGAACAGATCCCAGCTAGATGTTATCTAGCAACTGCCAAACGGAATCATATGTGGCACGAGGCCGAATTTAATCTGGGGTTAATCTGGGCCAAAAGATACCCGTAGACTCCGCATAAACGAGATCGGATCGGTCTACCTTCCTGAACGAGAAACCGCGCTTTGGCATAGCCTCGTCGGGTTTCTCTCTGACCAAAAGCAGAATTCGACCAGCACAGCTGAAAAAGCTTTCAGCCAGACGGTATCTAGCAACTGCCCCATACAGTCACATGTGGCGCAAAGCCGAGTTTAATGTGGGGTCCCCGGGCTCGTAGGCTCAGCCAAAAAAAATTCCGTGTAGACTCCAGATAAATGGGATCGGGTCGGTCTACCTCCCCGGACGAGACTCTGCCCTTCGGCATAGCCTCATCCGGATTCCTCTCTGTCGGAAGGTAGAGAGTTAGACAACAGACAAGACATATGAAACAGATCCCAGTTAGAAGACATATGAAACAGATCCCAGCTAGACGTTATCTCGGCATAGCCTCGTCCGGTTTCCTCTCTGACCGAAGGCAGAGTGATCGACCAGCACAGCTGAAAAAGCTTTCAGCTTGACGGTATCTAGCAACTGCCCCACGCAGTCATATGTGGCGCAAGGCCGAATTTAATGTGTGGTTCCAGCTCCCGTAGTCTCATACAAAAATATCCATAGACTCCGCATAAACGAGATCGGTTCTGTCTACCTCTCCGAACGAAACTCGTCTAGTTTCCTCTCTGCCCGAAAGCAGAGAGTTCGACCAGTACAGCTGAAAAGATACTTATAGGCAGTTACTACCTATATTGTAGTCACTCATGAGGGTGGCAGGTTATTCCATTACGTTACCTTCCCCCAAGCGGAATTTTCCACTAGAAATTTAACTTTCTAATACTTTCTCTTTTTCGGTTCTGGAATTAACCGCACTGTGGGTTTTCTTTTCCTTGTACTCTTTCAAGACAAATAGCATCTCGACCCTACGGGCAAAGGTGGTGTAGGATATGTATCCATGACTTCTGGTATGTTAGTGTGTGGTGTTATTTCAAACGTGTCGTACAGGACATCCATCGGAGTTTCTTCATCATCCTGTTGAACGATTTCAGAATATCTTGGTCTTAACTGGTTTACGTGCCTTTTGCATACACATCTTTTTCCTTGCACCGTATAGATTACTTTTCCAATTCTATTTAAAATAATTCCATCTTCCCAAAATCTTTTCCCACCTCCGTAGTTCTTGAAGAAATATTTGTCACCAAGCGTATACTTCTTTTCACAGAAATTCTCTGTAATGCATTTTCTTTTTTGGACAAGGTAACAATCTGTCGAACATCCATCTTATCTTTCTCACAAACATCAATTCAGCACCTTCAATATTAAATATTTTTGAATAATAAAAACAGGGTTGAAATTATTATATTTTCAAATCCCTAGGTAATTTTGTGGACACTCTGTACCTATCAAGTGAAAGTGAAAAGTATCTGATCGAATCATTTATCAAAATTAATATTTTAATGTTTGCTTTTGTGAGGTGGGTCGAGAACTTGTTTTATTACGAAGAATAAAATCAGTCAGTATACTTTAAAATGCTTTACATTTCCTTAGTAAGTGACTCAGGACATTGTATTGCTCCATGCTGAACTTAATCAATAAATGTTTCAATTTTCTCTTCTGAAAATTCTGAAGTAAGCAAGCGGCAATATTAGTTATTTAATTTTTAAAACTCGGCTTAGTTTGGCACAAGAACAAGTAGGAATTAATGTAGGCTAGGAAGATTGTGTTGCCCCAAGAAGAGAGAAACTGATTCGGTAGTTTAGTTTCTGTTGATTTGTTTTGATTTGTTTTGTTTTACGACATATCATCCTTATATGGATTATTTAATGCCGACAAGATTTTTATTGCTGGTAGTATTTTTTCCAAAAAGGATTTTTGGTAATATTTTTCCAAAAAAGTATTGCTGGTAATAAGGTATTGCTGGTAATAATTTTTTTTTTCAAAAATTTATTGCTCTAATAATTTTTTTACAAAAATATATTGCTGGTATAAAAACCTATTTTTACACGTTTTCACCCCATTTGGGGAGTTAACTATTTGTCCACAGCCGGGATTCTAACAGTTGCTACCACTCCGGGTCATGGTGAACCTGGGAACATCAGCAATTGGAGGTGGCTCCACGCTCTTGATCAGAGGCCATGCTGTCGGATGTAGTTTATCGTCTTACCCAGGACGGTTTAGTTTCTATACTTTTGTCTCCTCAGTTATTTAATCCACTGCCTTTTCCTACGCTATTTTGGGTTACAAAGTTCAAATTAGTACAGCATAATGGAAAATGAAGGAGTCAGAAGAGTAAGATGTAGTTGTTGTCTGGGGAGAGTGGGGTTTGAATATCAGTATTCGAAATCCTGGCTTTTATGCGGACCACTAGGCCAAATAAAATAATTAAAACTATATCAGCCATAAGGAAGATATTTTGGCTATTTTTTTTATTACATTATCATATTTATTAAATCATTTCTCTCTTAAAAGTATTTGCTACATTTCTTCCTGATTTTTTTTTATCATTAAGAAAAATCATCTTTCGTTTTCTTTCTTTCTCGTTTCATCTACTTTCTTTCGTCTATCTTTCTTGTCTCGTCCATTTTCTTTCTTTTTTTCACCTTCTCTCTTTCTTGTTTCGTCTACTTTCTTTTTTCACCTTTCCGCTTTCTTTTTTCGTCTTCCCTTTTTCTTTCTTTCATTCTTAATTCGTTAATTTTTTGTCATTCGTTCTTTTCTTATTGATTCATTTTTTTTTTTTTCTTTCTTTGTTTCTTGTTTTACGTTTTAGCTGTCTTTCTTTCTTTCTTTTTTCTTTCTTGTTTCATCCACTTTCCTTCTTTCTTTCTTTCTTTCTTTCTTTCTTTCTTTCTTCTTCTTTCATCCACTTTCTTTCTGTTTTCGCCTTTTTTTCTTTTTGTCCTCTTTCTTTCTTTTTCGTCTTCTTTCTTTCTTTCGTTCCTGATTCATTCACTTTCTTTCGTTCTTTCTTGATTCACCCATTTTCTTTCTTTCTTTCTTTCTTTCTTTCTTTCCGTCTGTCTTTTTTTCGCATTCTTTCTTTTTCGTTTTCTTTCTTTCGCCCTTAATTAATGTTCTTTCGTTCGTTCTTTACTTCTTAATTCATGTTTTTTCTTTCTTCAGTTCTTTTTTCGCCTTCTTTCTTCCTTTCTTCCATTGTTTGTTTGCTTGTTTCTTTCTTTCTTTCTTTCTTTCTTTCTTTGATTCGTTCACTTTTTTCTTTAGTTCTTTCTTTCTTGATTCACCCATTTTCTTTCTTTCTTTCTTTCTTTCTTTCTTTCTAGTTTTGTCGCTTAACTTTCTTATCTATGTTTCGAAGTCGTGTCACTCGAACCCATATAAATCGGTTAAAAACATCACTTCAGTTGTTGAGTGACGAAACACAATTACATTTTGCAAAACCGACCTCTTTTCGGCTTTAAACTTACTGAAACCTTTATTACGTATGAACGGTGTAAAGCGGTGTTCTTGTTGCATTTAACTTGTGTTGCTGTCATTGCAAATATTCTCCCATAGACACAGTCAGCTCCAAACAACTAAAAACTGTTAATAAAAATATTTTTAGGTTGAAAAAAAAAAAAAAAATTAAATAATTTATGCGTGAACATTTAACAGAAATGAGCGGCGATAATTAGAAGGAAAAGGAATGGGTGGCAAATGTTTGAGGACGAGATTTAAATCAATGAAGGAGGAGGAGCATTAGAAGCGTGTAATAGTCGGGAAAATGAAGTAGTGCCAGGGGACCGATTGTTTTGTTTGTGTGAGTGACAGTGACAATAGCCACTCAAAAGTAGGAGGGTACGCATCGATGGAAAAAAGTGAGAATCTAGCTAGACATACATGCATACACAAGCATGCATATATATATATATATATATATATATATATATATATATATATATATATATATATATATATATTTATATGTATATATGTATATATATATATATATATATATATATATATATATATACATGCGTGTGAATGCTTGTGCGTATATATATATATATATATATATATATATATATATGCGTGTATGCTTGTACACACACATACATACACACACAAAAAACACACACACACACACACATATATATATATATATATGTATATATAGAACATACTTGCATATATTTATAAATACATATGCCTGTATATATATAAACATATGCGTGTAAAAATATCGAGACTCACTATTTTCAGATATATATATATATATATATATATATATATATATATATATATATATATATATATATATATATATATATATATATATATATATATATATATATATATATATATATATATATATATATATATATATATATATATATATATATATATATGTATGTATATATTTTTTTATACATACATATTTATCTATGTCTCTTTTGTAATCTAAACACTTGAAAAAGAAGATGGCGTAACAAAATACATTTGAAAAAAAAAGTAAAAGTGAAAAAGGAAAGGGAAAAATAATTGGTGAGAAAGAAGGAGAGAGAAAGAGAGCAAAAAAACGGTTGGAAGAGGCACTTATTGACCAACCAAACAATCGCCTGTCTCACCACACAAGGAACCCACCCCTCAAAAACTGGATCAATCTCCGAGTTAAGAGTTTTCTTTCAATTCAGTGACGGGTCGGCTTCAAGACAAGCCACATCGTCCTTATCGAGGGACTGTAGTACCGTGTAAATTACTACTACAACTACTACTACTACTACTACTACAACTGCTACTACTACAGCTCTATGTCTGCTACTACTACTCTGGTGAGCCGGTAAATTTGTCGTAGTAGTTTCTCAGCATCAAAAAGCCGTATTCGTTTCTTTCTGACCGGCAGAGTAACGAACGTGTTTCATGACACTGACAAACAAGAAACAGGGTCTTACTACATTCATTTCATCTTACAAAGAGAGTGAGTGAGAGAGAAAGAGTGAGAGAAAGAGAGAAAGGGAGGGAGAAAGAGAAAGTGGGAGAGGCAGAGAGGGAGAGAGTGAGAGAGAAATTCGTACAAACAACAACATCAACGACGGAGGTAGGAAGGGCAAGAACCACACAACAACACCTAGAGAAACGAACGAGAAAAATATTACCATCTGTTAAAAATGAACCCACATTTGGGGCTGCTCATCTGTTTGGCAGCGATTGGTAAGTTTTTTTGGATTTTTTTTTAATTTTCACTTTTCAAAACAATTTTTTTTTTACCATTTTTCAAACGCGCCAACTTTTGGTTTTAAACACTCTGTTTAAAAAATTGTTTTCTGTACTTCGTCAACTTGAATATCAACTTAATTTCATATTAACATATATTTTTCTTAAAAAGTAGAAAATAAAAACAAGATTTTTCAGTCCTATTGATTCTTTAAAATATATTTTTTTGAGATCAGCTTCTTTTCTCGGAAAATAGTATTGTTCTTATAATCGATTTAGACTGGAAAATAAAAGTTGTAAATAATATTCAACCGTATTGATAAATTCATATATAGCAGAAACATTATCATAACCTTGGGATCAGCTACAGTTTAGTTACGCACAGCTCCAAGTCAGTATTTCTTTAAAAAAAAAAAAAAAAAAAAATCTTGAAGTAAAAAGTAAAAAAAAAAATAATCACATGTGCCCAGAAAATAGGATTGTGTTCATCTGTCACGATGAGAATAATTATTTACAGTTCATTTTTATGTAATTTTTCACCATTAAAATTTATTAAGCAAATAAATGTCAAGATTTTCATTACAGCATATTCTCTAGAGGCAGGAAAATAATTTTTGTGTCATCTGCATTTAAGCCCATTCATGGTTTACATAGAAAAGGTTAAAGCTTTTTCTCATAACTATCCACTGTCTTTATCATTACTTCACAATTCCGCCTTTTAAGTCTAGCTATTCTCTTCAATAACAAATGAAATATTTCTAGGCGATTACAAAAAATCTGTTTAGCACAGGATTTTGCGATATTTCTCTTATGCATTAAAAATTAACGAGTAACAATTGTCAGTGGTTAAGAATTAATACAAGTGTGGATGACAGAATAGGGTCGTTATAGGAATAATGTCAATGCAATGTAGACAGTTTTTGTTACCGAAAACACTGCAAATAATTTTACTATAGAAATGCATTGCAAATAATTTTAATATAGAAATGCAAACGAAAAAAAAAAAAGGGGAATTGACAATAGTTATAAATCAAAGCTAAACCGAAGTGACAGAATAAGGAAAAATAAAAAGGCACTAAGAATGAACAAGTCGAGGATTTTCTCACTCCTTAGAAGAACCCTGCACTGACTGACCATGTGTCCAGGGGTGTCGCTGTACTCACCACGTTTGGCCAGTTGCGGGTTGTGAGGCTATTTAATCTATATTTGGAGATTTTGAATTCAGAGTTTTCCTTCTAGATTAGTCGCCAACCAAGGCTGTCATTTACCCATAATTGCGAGAAGAAGAGATGGATTCATACTTTTCCAAAGTGTATTTGTACGTAAGTGAATGTGACGAACATAACTAGAATTCGAAATCGGATCTTCGATTCCTCAACACGAGTCGCTATCCATCACTTCTTAGTGACAGAATATCTTTTGATATATTATGTTATGACTTTCCTTCGCGACTGAATATTTGGTAGTGGTTTCAATGACAGCTGCAGACTCTCAAGCGATTTGTGAGGACCAAACGATAGACGTATGATTTCCCACATCAATTGCAATAACTAAACGAAAGATCTTCTTCTTCTTCTTCTTCTTCTTCTTCTTCTTCCGTGCTGTATTTCTTCAGGACAAAGACGACTATGACTCTCCACAACTTCCCCACGTTTGTAGCTCTTAGTAAATTTTGTCTTTTCATTATCTCTCCTAAGTTCTGTTCTGTTAACAATTTATACAAGTTCGCCAGTTAGGTTATGCTCAGCTTTCATCTGTCCCTCTTGCCTTTTAATATGTCCTGTTAATGTCGAATTTTCCAAGCCCCCTTTCCTCATTATGTACCCAAGAATTTTCAACTGTCTGTTTCTGATGATATGTGTAAGTGTCCTTTTGTTTCAATTTTTCTGAAAATTCATCATTGCTCAAATGTTTCGCCCATGATATTCTCATCATCCTTCTGTAGAACCACTTTTATGTTGCCCCAAGTCTCTTCATCTGTAATGAGATTGTCCAGAATTCATTGCCATATAGGAGGACCAATATGAAATAAAAGTTAAGTACTCTTTTTTTTAGTTTCTAATGAGAATTTCGTGTTTCTTAATATTTGCTTTGCTTTTGGAAGGCATCTTTTTCAATCCTCATGCGTCTTCAGGTTTTGGAGTCGCATTTTCCTTCTTCTGTTAAAACATTTCCTAGCTATTTAAATTTTATTACTTAAATATATTTAAATTTTTGTACTTAGAATTTTGTACTTGTTTGATTTGGTTATCTTCGATTTGTAATTCCCATGCTGGGATTTTAGTTATCGAAATTCTTATATTATTATAATTATCTCGGATTCCGTGTTACTAATTAAAAAGTAAACAATAGAAAAAACTTATTTCATTTCAACAAGGTTTCATACTCAAACTCAATGTATTTTGCAAATAAATCAATCAAAAGAGTGTTCAATTTTAAAATGAACTCTTTAATCGTGTTAATTTTTAAAACTCTTAATCTCATAGAGTTTTACAGTAGAAAAGAATGTTTGGTAGGAAAAGAAAATACACGCAAATACAAAAGACATCACTAGATATTCACCTTATACTCAAATATTTCAACAGTAACTTCTCTCTTCTACCGATAAAGCTATATTCACAAGATGAGCCATTTCTGGATAAAATGAAATTGGGAAGAATTGATTTGCCATTATTCCAAGTGAAAAAAAATGGTATGGAAGTTATGTGAGTCAATCTCTAAATCAATCGAACAATTTAAATGCGTGTTTACACGTTAAATGAAGGAAACATCATTAAAAATAAAGATTTTGTATATAGGAGCCCTAGCCCTAAATTTCTTTCAGTATGATATTTTTTTCTTTATTTTATACATATAGTGTATGTGTGTTTATACGTGTGTGTGTCCAAGCAATTCCTCTGCTGGTCTGATTTCAATGATTCATAGCTCATTCAAAAGCGCTAGAAAAGTTAGGCACAGGGAACTATTTTCGTTGAGCTTAGATTCAGGGTTGCCAGATTATGCGAGGTTAAAAATATATATTAATATATTATACTAGCCATTATCGTTGCTTTCATGGTTCAGAGGATTAACTCTTACTTTCGTTTTGTATCCAAAATTTCAGTTTCACGTTTTATTAAGAAATAGTTTAAAAAACCGCCCTATAGCGCGGCATTTAAGCTAGCTCATGTGGAGGACTCTTGGTCTGGCCACCATCACAATAGCCAGGGAGGAGTAGATGCGATAGGCATCAATAAACTACAGAAGAACTCAAAATTGATTGCTGCATTTAAGTATTGAATTAATGTTTAAGCTTACCTTTTAAAAATTCAATGATAGTTCTTCTGCTGTGACTTAATTTAAAGACGATTTGATGTACGTAGATCCTTATTTTCCGTACAAATAATTATTTTTAATTCATGGGTGACAAAACAGGGGGCAGTTTATAATATAAAATTAACATAGTGTCAAGATGGGAAAATAGAAATTAGAATGAATTATACATTCAACATTTGAAGAGTTAGAGAGACATAGTTGCTAATTAAGTAAAACTTATATTATGGAATCTATATGAATAAATGCGAAATTGGAGTACAATCATCCAACGATTTCTAGGGTTAAAAAGCCCAGCTCTATTTTATAGTAATTTATACGCTAAGGGCGCAGAATCTGTATTATATATTATCTGCTTCTAGGTGATATCACTCTTCAGGTTTAACTAATTTTCATATTGATTTAAAAAAAAATTTTCATTCATAAGCTGTCCTTTATTAATGTTCTTTTATTTAAGGACTGTTTTGATTTTCATATAAAAAATAGTTCTGTTTAGGAATATTGTCTTATTTAGTGCAGAATAGTCTTTGAAATTTGCATTTTACTTGGCCTTCAACAAGTTGGCATCTATTTGTAAAACTTTCCTTAACTATAACAAGCCAATTTATGAATGAAATGTTCGTTTAAAAGTTTTGTTTCAATATATCTTACATTGTGAAGCGATAGAAAGCGAGCGAAGCCGGCTAGTTTATTATAACTTTCATTATTCATTATAAACTGCATAAAGTTTCTTGTATCTTTTCCTAAAAAACATGGCAGTCCAATTTCATGAGTGACTTCTACAATCGAAAACTTTGATGTTTATTTTCTTGATGTCACATCAAGATAAAAGTATCATGTAATTCGTGTATTGGTCGCATTAGTAATACTCTTTCACTCAGATTAACTTACTACTCGGGGCAAAGTGATTTACATTACCGCGTGAACCAGCATATATTAATATACCATGATATCACGAATAACATAAGATTTACACAGACTATATCATGGGAGAGCAATATGCAAAGATAATGTGGGTAGCACCAACGTATATTGCATTCATAAAACTAATCAGACGTCTATGTGTTCTGCTATGACATCTGAGTTAGTATGAACACCAGTTAGGCTGTTGAAGGTAGGGCTTAGAGAATTGTCGGTTTTCGAACAGACCAGAGATAGGAAATGTATTCTCATTCTGAAATAATATAGGTAGGCTGAATATCTTTTCATTTTCTCATAGGCAATCTTATCCAATAATAAGACCTGTGTTTGATGACTGATCCCAAGACATCAAATGCTGAACCTTTAATTTTAATTGAAAGACATTTTAATTGAATCATTTGTAACAAGAATCACCGACTAGGCATCATATAAAAAAAAAAGAACGGAAGATATCTAACTAAAGGTAATGATTATAAAAACCAATTTATATATGAAAAACAAAAAGTAAAATCTTTATTTTTTTTCACCCTTTTTTTTTTTAATCATTTCACACCAAGCAAGGGAATAAAGCCACTAACACGCAAGGGGTTACTGAGTGTTAGAGAATAAGAGAGAGTAAAAAAAAACACTATTAAAGAGAGAGAACATTAAAAGAAGAAGAATTAAGATGACAGTAATGACATTGCATTCAAATTTTTGAGGATCGAAGTTTGCTTGGAAGTAGGAAGTCGGAAGAGAGTTCCACAAGCGAGAAGTGCGTTAGAAGAAACTGTTATCATAAAACTTACGGTTGCCTCTAGCCATTTCAACGGTAAAATGATGAGACCTTACCGTCAATTCTGTACTGTCGTTAAATTAATAACGCCTAGGTACCAGAGAGGAAAGTTCACCAGAACAATTACCATGAAAGTATTTATAGAAAAGGCCCAGGAAACTTATGTTATGGTAGTTGAAGGGTACTAATGCTGAGATGCCATGACAGGACCAATAACATTGCAGATTCTCCTTTAGATTTTGTCAAGAATTTCTAAATATAGAGCAAGAGTATCAACCCAGACGAGGCAGCAGTATTCAAATCAAAGACTTATAAATATACAATATAAATTCTGATGAGATAGAATTATGAGATAAGGAAATAAGATTATGCAGTGTGTTAGGAATAAATTTGCATTTTCTACTGATACCAACAGGAGGTGATTTATCATTAGACAAAGTCCATGATATCGAATATTGATTTTCAACATATGGAAATCTATTCCAGTTTTATTGACTGGAGAAATATAATCTTTTTACTGACCATTTATTTCGTTGGGCCAGTAGATATGAATAAATAATGATATATATATATATATATATATATATATATATATATATATATATATATATATATATATATATATATGGTGGGTCACTTTTGGATTTGGCTGTATGAGAGTCCAACAGTTCAGCCTAGAACGGAGAAATAGACAACCCATATGGATAATGTGATTATAGTGGTGAAAACTTATACTTTTATCTCAGTCTATTCGTCTATCTCATTCACTCTATCTATCTATCTATCTATCTATCTATCTATCTATCTATCTATCTATCTATCTATATATATATATATATATATATTCCTGGCTCAGTCTATTCGTCTATCTCATTATTCACTTTATCTATGTATCTCTCTCTCTCTCTCTCTCTCTCTCTCTCTCTCTATATATATATATATATATATATATATATATGTGTGTGTGTATGTGTGTGCCTGTCTCAGTTTATTTGTCTATCTCATTCATTTCATTTATCTATCTATCTATCTATCTATCTATCTATCTATGAAAATAAACCAGGCTTTTTAAATAACATCCATGTTATTTTTGTATTTCTTCCATCTACTCTATTCTCTCTGGCGTTAATAATCCGTACAACTGTTTTTTCTTTATTTCCACAACGTCTCCATGTCTATCTTCAAGCACCAGCTTTTTTTTCTATCTTGCTCTCTCTATTTCAATTTACTCTCTCTATTTCAATTTACTCTCTCTATTTCAATTTACTCTCTCTACTTCTCTCAATTCTCTACCCGCGTTGACAAATAAGCGTGATTTCTTTCTACCTTTTTCCTTCTCTCTCAAACGGTGAGATTTTTTCCGGTTTAGCTGTTGTCGCTGTCAAGACTCACGTGCATAACAGCTGCAGAAAATGAAAATCCAAGCAAGTCATAAATTTTCATTAGACTGATGGAGTGGAATCTTTGAGGATGAAATTATTCACTTTCATTAAAAAACCTTTTTTTGTTTTTAATTAAAAACCAAACCATTAAGAACAACAACAAAAAAAGAACCTTGCGGAGTGATTTTTTGTAGTCATTTGTTGAAAATGAATACGATCGAAACCGATGAAATATAATATACACATACTGTGATAAGACGATCTTTAAAAAATAGTACGTTGCTATCAATAATTTAAATTACAACTAGGTTTCAGAAAATCATGCATTTATTTAAAATAAAGATTCTGATTCGTGCATATATCATTAGTTTGTTTTGTAGAATCTCACTATTTTGCACAGTTTTCAGTGGACGACTTTCCGCACTCAAACACAGCGTCTTTGCTTACTTGTTTTTCCTTTTTCTTCAGCAGAATTGAATTGTTCTGTCCTGACATTAATAAGGGTTCAACTGCTTTCCACAGTCATGTTCTTGTTATTTAATGGAAATGGATATTTAAAACATAGTCAGGAATCCAATCCTTATTAATAAAATTGTACTCTCAGTTTATTATTGTTATTAATTGAAAGAGCAGCACGTCAACAAAGTGACTTCGATGTACAAATATACGAAATCCAATTGTTCAATAAGGGCGTATCGAACCCATGCTTCACGGCAAAATGTGTGTTATAAGTTATGATAGGTTTTGATAAACAACGCATAAACTTGCAGGTAATGTTCCCAAATATCTAAATGTGACCCTCAAGTCCGTTTTGTCTGCCTCATCTTTCAAATAACCTTCACAATCTCTGCCCACCATGCGCCACCATTACCCCACGCATATTCAGTCAGACTCTAGGACAGTGTCTATCAATCTTTTCTTGTTTGTAGCCCGTTTTTTTTTGTTGTCAAAGAAATTTCAGGACCACATAAACAAAAATAGAAATTCCATGAATAAGGAAATACAGTTTTCAATCGTCCTGGGTAAGATGATAAACTACATCCATGTTCTAGGTAAAACGATAAACTACATCCGACAGCAAGGCCTGTGATCAGGAGGTTTTGAGGAGCGTGGAACCATCTCTTAATTGCTGGTTTTCCCAGGTCCACACTGACCCGGGGCGCTAACACCTGTTAGGGTCCTAGCTATGGGCAAATAGTTAACCCCCAAACTGAGGTCAAAACACTAGGAAAGTGTAAAAATAGGTTTTAATACCAGCAATACTTTTTGTAAAAATATTACCAGCAATGAATTTTTAACAAAAAATTATTACCAGCAATACATTTTTGAAGAAAAAATACCAACAATACATTTTTGTAAGAAAATTATTAGCAGCAATATATTTTTGAAGAAAAAATATACCTGCAATACATTTTTGAAAAAAAAATATTACCAGCAATACAATTTTTGTCGGCATTAAATAACCCACTGAGGTTGACATGCCGTAAAACAAACCAAACAAACCATTTATTTACAAAAACAAAATGTAGTAGAAAATATACATCCTGACTCTTGACTACACCGCTCTCGGTGTCTTCAGGCCCTTTAAAAATATTTCTTAGGCCTACTTTTAAGCCTAAGGATCTACGCTGAGAATCTCTCTTTTGAAGGGAAATATGACATAAAAGAGAAATATCTATTCATCTTCCAATTATGGGTATAATACTAAACTATACTGTAGTAGAAAATATAAATCCTGATTAATGACTATACAGATCGTGGTATCTATATATCAGCTTGTCAAATTGAACTTCCAGGTCTTGGTTCTGCTCAGACGTAAGTCGCTTCTTTTTTCAGTCTATATTTCCAGACCCATTTAAAAATTTTCTAAGGGCCCATATTCCTAAGGGCCCATATTCCTAAGGGCCAATATTGAGAGTCACTGCTTTGGGGACATGCCCAACTGTTTATGCTTATTGAACTACTAAGCAAATGAACGTGATATTTACTATAGCATATTTTAATTCATCAAAACAAACCAAGAATAAAAAAGAATTATTTTGTAATTATTGCTGTATTATGAATAAGGAGTACAAAATTGTATACAATATATAATTCAAGTCAATACGTATTTTGTAAACCCGTATTTGTGAAGGATAGAAAGAGCCGCATTATAAGGAAGGAATTATTGCTGATTTTACATGTGTATTAAAAGGACTTGCTGCATTTGCTGATAGTTTAAATTCTTATTTTCAAGTAGTTTTTGTCCTATCCGATTAGATAATATTTCCTCGAATAAACGCATTCTGCCTTGGCCTGCTGTCAATGTCATGAAGTCACAATCATTGTCTATAAATACTCGTTCATGCTTTTTTCTGTCTGTTGTCGCCTAATAGTGAGGAAATGGCGGGCGAAAATAGTATTTTTTTAATTAAAGAACATTCCTTCCAAAATACCAAAACTAGTTTTGGAATCAACACAGAAATTTGTATAAATTGTGTGAATTTACTAGTACCAGATAGTCCATTGGCTCATAGTCTATTAGCTAGAGTCACTAAAAAGCTTTTGAATAATTTTTCCAGAGACGTCATGTATTGAAATCCAAGCGTTCATGCTACTTTTCTATAGTTAAGCTGTCAGTCAGTTATGTGCCATGCGTGATACACACTTATGTGATCATGTATCTTTCGATACATGACTGACTTTTTTTCCTGCAGTAGGTTGCCATTTCGTTCTACGGTAGATCAGTTGGCATCCAAGGCTATAGAACCCGGTCTGTCTCGCTATTTGCCCATAGCTGGGGGAGAAGAATAGGATTCAAACCTTTCCCAAGGGTATTAGCACATAAGTGACTGTAATGGATTTGACAGGAATTCGAACTCGGCTCTCCCATTCCTCAATCCGCTATTCATTACTCCACAGTAATAAACAATAAGAAAGTGATTCTGTTGTAATGCTTTATTCAACTTAACTTTGCGTACTTCGAAAGGAGTTTGGGTAACATCTCTATATAGCGATTTTCAAGCGTAGCTTAGATGTGGTATAAGGCCGAAAGCATGCGGCACCCAGTGAGGATCGAATACACAATTCAGTCGTAATTGCTCTAGGAAGACAAGCTTGCTAACCATTACACGGCCTCGAGGTGCCCTATAACATATCTATATATAGAGAGTTCTACTAGGGGAAGTAATTACGTCCGTTTCGACTACTTTATTACTACAACATGTATATAGATAAAAAAAGACAATGAAATGTTGCAAATATTCTCTGATTTTAGATGATTGTTCCTTTGTCTCAGCATTACATATATTCAGACTAGATTTATATAGATTTTTCAATAATTTTTCCAAATACAAATAATTTTATCTAATCAAAAGCTAAGGGATGGATTCATACCTATCCCAAACATATTTGTGCAAAAGTGAATGCAATGAACTCAACTGGAATTTGAACTCGGCTCTCCTATGAGATTTGTTGATTGTGATATTTTGCAGAATGTGCTATTTTTACAAACCGAAAGTAAGTTTATGTTTGTCTTTGCAATTCTTTTCTATATTCATATTCCTCTTTATCTGACCTTGCGTCAGACTTAACTAAATAAATATCTAACATGAAACTTTGCACATCTTATTTATTAAGCTCAGCTTAATATGCAAAACAAAGCCAAAAGGATGAGGTTGTGTTGCACTAAATTTTCAAACAGGGAGAGCTTACTTACGTAGGAAATCACCATTGGAAATATTGGTGTGTGCCACGGGTATGAACCCCGATCTTTGGCACCGTAAGAAATATTTACTGTATTTGACGGTATGAAAGACGCCCAGACATATTAGATACACTCTTATTTCAGTAGGATATATATAAGAAAAATGTTTTTAGTGCATTCTGAAATGTAATATTTGAAACAAGCTACCAGTTCATTACAAAACATTACAAAAGCATTTTTAATACAGCAGAAAACATTACTGTATACAAAAAGTAAGCCTGTAGCACATCTGAACATAAACACACTTATCACTTCACCAGACATTCTTCTTAGAAAATGACGGTATTTTTCTCTGCGGCCTTGTTATGTTACCAAGGTTAGTGTTTTGCCATTACGTGTATTTCCCGTTGGTTACGTCCCTTTATCCTGTAATTTCTAGCAAGTTAATGATAGGAATGTGTTGAGGTATATTTATGTATGTGAAAGTAGCTGGTACCGATAAACGTCGCCAGTACTTTGTTACAATAATTCCATTTATTGTACCGTTAGAATTATTATTATCATTATTATTATTATTATTATTATTATTATTATTGTTGTTGTTGTTGTTGTTGTTGATAGTAGTAGTAGTAATAATAATAATAATCATTATTAGAGACCACAAACAAAAAAGGTGCCTCCTTATTGATATGGCAGTCTGCAATCTATCTTTGAAGATCTTCAAAATGCTATCAAAATACAAGGACCTTGAAGTCGAAATCTCAAAAATATGGCACATGAGAACATCAACAATCCCTGTTGTAGTTGGAGCCCTCGGATTGGTTGGAAAAGATTCTAGTTGACTAATTGAAGGAATTCCTTGAAGCCCATGCCTTAAAGAAACACAAAAAAATGTTCCCACGAGTACAGCCCACACCTTACGAAGGGCTTAATCTATATAAAATATGCATGATATTTTTTTGTAAACTGCTCAGTGGAAAATGTCATGATGCCATTTCTGATATTAGGTCTCTGGGCGGGAACTGGAAAGAAGTGAGTATACACCAGAAACCAAAAGAAATAATAATAATAATAATAATAATAATAATAATAATAATAATAATAAATAATAATGCCCCTGAAAAAATATTATTATAAAGTCGGGCTAGATAGAAGTGTAAGATTCTAAGCTAAGGTTATAGCTCATAGTTGTAGGCATTAACGATGAAATTAGCTTACGGTAGACTGCGACTTCGAAAATAAGAGGCAGGGCGATTTTTAGCCATTTAAAAAAAATTGCAGCTTATAATGTCATTAAATACGATAATTGTTTTAGTCACAAAGCACGCTATTTTTAAGCTTGCTTTTTCAATAGCGAAATTAAATTCTCCCTACATCCATATTTTAACCCCTCCCAACCGTTTGGCCTTGTGCCAAACTAAGTTGATTTGAGTAAATATCTTATATTAAGCGCTGTTCAATTTTCTACGTCTCGGCGAGAAACTTATCATTAAAACTCACCCACGACACGGCAAACAAAAGTCTGTCGCATAAAATCTGGCCAGTTACAGTCATTTAATCATTTCCGCGTATAATTAATCGTCGTGTTATATAACTAGAACCACGTGTTTGGAAATATTTGTTTTTTTAATTTTCCTTTAAGCTGTAAAATAGTTAGAACGGGCGGGAAATGCTTAAGGGAACTAGGTTACAGATCAGCACGGCAAAAAGTAGGGCATTGTCCAGTAGAAAAAAATAGTCAACCGAGAGATAAATAGCCGAGAGAATTTTTTTTTGAAAACACACGGAGTATTCAGAATTGCAAGCAGAAAGAAAAAAAAGTTAAATATCGACAATAATACTAGATTGCTTACATTCACATCTAATGTGGTCAGCTATCTATCTATCTATCTATCTATCTATCTATCTATCTATCTATCTATCTATCTCATTCTGTTCAGATCTATCTATCTATCTATCTATCTATCTATCTATCTATCTCAATCTGTTCACATCTATATATATATATATATATCTATCCTAGTCTATTCATATCTATCTATCTATCTCATTCTGTTCAGATCTATCTATCTATCTATCTATCTATCTATCTATCTATCTATCTATCTATCTATCCCTGTCTGTTCATATCTATCTATCTATCTATCTATCTATCTATCTATCTATCTATCTATCTATCTATCTATCTCCGTCTGTTCATATCTATCTATCTATCTATCTATCTATCTATCTATCTATCTATCTCTCTATCTATCTATCTAAAGTTGTACCTCTGTCGGCCTGTTTGTCAATAAACCTCTCCTAGGGTTTTGGAGACAGACTCCCATATATTCTGAAACTGCATTACCCAGGGTGCTTAGATAAGTGTATTTCATTTTGATCAAAGGGTTTCCCGGCGGGCACTAACCTCGCCACTGATTTGTTCCCCTTTGATACAAATTGAATTTAATGGTGAAAAATGAAATGACTCCTAGGTTACTTGGATAAGTATATTTGATTTTGATGAATGGGAATCCCGCTGGGTGGGGAGCGCACAAATACACGACTGAATTTTTATTTTCCTTTTGATTTAAATTAAATTTGAAGAAGGGAATGACACCTCTTGAATAAGTAAAATTCATTTTTCATTTTCTACCCTGGGGGCAGAAACCATACACTGATTTTTTTCCCTTTGATTTAAATTAAATTTAAATTTGAACCCCTAACTAAAATATACAAGGAGAAAGTCAGAAGATGGCAGTCGCATCAGCAAAATCAAAATGTGACAATATGGATGTCAAGTTGAGCAAGAAATCACCAGTCAATGGGTAGTGCCCTACAATACCTATTCGTTGTGATAATTCAACTGTTATATCAATGTTGAAATCTGATCATCAATTCATTCAATCATTTATTGCATCAAAGACATATCAAAGGGGGGCAGATCTAACAGTTTTTGCACGAAACCCGCACTCATTTATTTCTCTTTCATTTAAATTAAATTTAAATTTGAACAAGGGAATGAATATATATATATATATATATATATATATATATATATATATATATATATATATATATATATATATATGTATGTATCAGTCTGTTCAGTTCTAGATTTCTTAGTTTGTTCAGATCTATCTAGCTATCTATCTCAGTCTGTTCCGATCAATCTCAGTTAATTTATCTCTATCTCAGTCTGTTCACACGCACACACATACATACATACATACATACATACATACACACACACACACACACACACATACACACATATATATATATATATATATATATATATATATATATATATATATATATATATATATATATATATATATATATATATATATATATATATATATATATATATATATATATATACATATATATATATATATATATATATATATATATATATATATATATATATATATATATATATATATATATATATATATTTATGTGTGTGTGTATTGTATATATATATATATATATATGTATATATATATATATATATATATATATCATATACAAATATGCATTTTAATTGCACTTATTATGTTCCAATGTTTAAAAAAATGCATATTTGTTTATATACGTATATATATATATCTATATATATCACAGTCTCTTCAGATCTATCTCAGTCTGCTCAAACACACACAAATATATATATATATATATATATATATATATATATATATATATATATATATTATAAAACAAAACAGTTATTGGCTAGAGTTGAATTAGATCACCAAGATATATATATATATATATATATATACTGATCTATCCCCAGTCTGTCTGTCTGTTTCTCTCTCTGTCTCTGTCTCTCTCTTTCTCTCTCTCTCTCTCTATCTATCTATCTATCTTTCTTTCTATCTATCTCTCAGTCTGTTCAAATACAAATATAAGAAATTGTTTAATATAAAAAATATGGTATTTCTGATAGTCAATTGTGGGGAATATTTGATCTGATATATACGTGAATATCATTTCGAAAAGGATTTACTTGAAAATCACACAGCATATTATACCACAAAGTTTCCTGAAATTTATAATCACCCTGCATATTCTATTGCCGCAAAGGTAACAAAAGTTAATATCATCCCTCATATTATACCACAAATGTTAAAATCACCCTTCATAAAATAACTGAAATATCCTGAAATATCCGTCATTCCACAAATGTTAAAATCAAACTGCACATTATAACAAAGCTCCTGAATATTAAAATCACCCGGAATGTTATACAACAAATTTTAAAATTGCCCTGAACATTAGAACACAGATGTCCTGAAGGTAAAAATCACTCTGTATATTATACTACAAATGTTAAAATCACTCTGTACAAAGGTCGTGAAGATTAAAACCATCCGTCATGTTATACCATAAATGTTAAAATTACTCTGCACATCATAATACAAATGTCCTAGGGATTAAAATCACCCAGCTTCTTATACCACAAAAATTCAAAGCATTAAAATAACTGATAAAAACATTTTCGTAGAATAGCCTTATAATGACCTTAGAATGAAATGATACAGCTAAATATTCGATTTTATATCGATATTTATGCAGATTCATAAGGCACAGGGCCTAATGGTGGGTATTCGGTTCAGGAAGATTGTGTTGTGCAATCTTCCAGATTATACAAGTCTATCTTTGAGGATACAATTTCAAAATTATGACTTTTTACCAAGATATGTACACTGAACTTGTGCATTGGAAGGAATAATATAATTATTTCTACATCTCTTGATTTATGTGTAAGATGGACTGAGTATAGCATAAAGACAAATAAAATGCGGTAATATTTGGAAGACTGTGTTATGCTTGCCTACCATGAAAATTAACATTCAAAATTTTGTTCTTTTCCCTAGGATCAGAAATTTGATATTGACCAATTTCGCTGGAAATCAGTTTTGTTGATTAGTTTAGTAAACGTTTGCTATTGTATTGTCTAATTCTTGTGTTAAAGTATGCTCACTTCGTGATAATGGCAATTTGTAAGCATATCTCAAAGATATATTATTTACTAACCTTAGTTTTGTTACAAGCAAAAGAATCAAACTCCCTAATCGGTTTTAATGTTCAATCAGGCTAAACACGTTAACCATTATCTCACGTTATTTCAGAAAGACGGCAGAAAATTTTTATTCGTTTGTTAAACAAATCAGAGAACTACTTTGATATATTTTAATTGAATCATACGCGCTGATTGATTAAACATACTTTCATTGCTCAAGTAAACTCTTCATAATTTTCCCTCAAGGTTTCTCGCAGGTATTACTGTTTTTTTCCGATCACTCATATTGAAGTTAAGAATCAAGCATTGAAGCTTTAATTATTTAACGTTGAATTGACAAGAAGAAAATAATCGTCTCGGTTCCAATCATTCGAACTAAGTAGGAGAGATCTTTTTATTCTTTGTCTCTCGGTCACGTTTATTCTTGATATCAACCAGTTCTCACTCATTGTAGATAACAAATTACTATTTATAAAACCATTAATTGTAGGCTGTGTAAGTAGATAGCCCATCATTTATTCTGGTGGTGGTGTGTGACCACACCTTAAATAAAAACCTGCGATCTGTTAATGAGTTACCTAATAAAAGTACTTTTCTTCAAACGCACACAATCCTTTGTCTTTGATCATTAAAAGAATTGATTACTCAACCCTTGACGATGACTCGTTGGGTGCAATGAGGATCTTTTTTCTTCTTTTTTTTTTACGTCGAGGTAAAGAAAACTTGGTTTTGATTCTTCAAGTGGCCACAAATAGATTCCTAATAAGATCTGTAGGGTAACAAGTAGGACGACTAATGACCGTACAGGAATGTTTATTTTTTTCCTCTGACTGATCACCAATTTTGGGAAGTGAAAAAACAAAAACAAAAAAGAACAAACTCACAAATTAAACGCTGGGGACTTAATTGTGTGATCTCACATTCAAGTGTGTGTATGTAAAAGAGAGAAAGATAGAGGGACAGACAGAAAGAGAAAGAGAGCTCGGTTTAACCTTGTGTGGTGAAAGTATTAAACTACGTTAATAACACACCGGGGTTCTTTATTTTCTTGAAGAAAAAGAAAACACCCTACGCGGTAATTTTCTAATTGTACCCATCATTTTGATTTTGGGCAGCCGAAAAACGAAATAAAAAAAAGCAATAATCAACGTTGGATTCTCTACTAATTCTATGAATTGCAGACATTCTTAACCGATTTGCATATCGAACTATCTCTTTGCTAGTGACCATTATAAAGCACAGAAAACCCTGCCCCAAATTAACCATCATTCGTTCCTTAAGCAATTAATCAACATATTTTACTCTATCTCAACTTAAATTTACAAGTGGAGATTAGCCAGTTAGGACTGAACTCGCTATACGAGCAAATTCGTTCGTAACACGATTTTTCTAACCTTAATATTGCAGAAGGCAATCCTCACTTTATCGTCACTTACTTCGCACATACCGGGGAAATTTAAAAGAATTATTAAGCCCAAACTCCAAGGGGCCTTCTCCACATTCAGCACCTTTCCTTCGGGAGGGGATGGGTTTATTGCCTGGTGCCTGAGGAATCCCTAAAAGGGGAAGTGCCGAGGGTCAAGTGAAAATTTTCCATAGTATTGACGTTAAACCCGCTTTAAAACTTGACCTTGTGTCACACTCGGTAGTGAAGTAGGCGCACTGAAAAAAAAAACCTCACTAAGTGCTGTAGAGCACTCGACTATACATGCAAGGCTCTAAATAAGGATTGAACTCATTATATCAGCGAATTAGTTTACCAGGCGAGCTTCCGAGTCGTCGTTTTTTTATCTTTCGATTTTTAAGGGGCGCTAAAATTCACACGTTCTGATTCAGTCGAAAAAAAAGACAAGTGACATAAACTGAATGAAACGAGTGAGAGTTAACTGATATGAAATAACTCACCAACACATGCAAAGCAGGTTCTATGAGAAATGGGTGTAGTCGGTAGTTTAACTAAGTAGAAACTAACCATGCAATACCTATACTCCTCGAGGACAAGGACATTCTACTATTCCCAGCCCGACATTCACATACTGAAACATTACTATGCTTATCACACTGTAGCGAGCCGTGTGCCTGCACACGCTGTGCATGAACACGTGTATCTCCTGAAACGGCCCACTACAAATATGGCAGGCTCAAGATGAGTGCAGCCAAAAGAAATGTAAAAGAAAATGTGAAGCAAAAAAACCAAAAAAAAACCCCAAAAAACAAAGACCTATATATATATATATATATATATATATATGTGTGTGTGTGTGTGTGTGTGTGTGTATATATGATGCGATGAGAACGAAAGTAATATATAAATTCCAACGTTCACAGCATTAATCCAAAAGAGGGCTCGATACCGATAGTAGAGCGATAATTATTTATTATAATTTTATCATATGAACAAAGCCATTTTACTCACTACAAAGATGCAACTTGGTTTCAGTGCATTTCAACTGCACTTCGACGGGTGGAAAAAAAGGAAGTGACGTTTCCCATACGGCTTGCCTACAAGCAGGATTTTTCATAACCATTTTCAATTCTCACCCGTCGAAGTGCAGTTGAAAGTTGCATCTTTGTAGTAAGTAAAATGGTTTTGTCTATATGATAAAATTATAATAAATAAATATATATATATGTATATATACACACACAATTATATGTGTATTAACAAACAAACGGAGACAAATTACAAAAACAATAATGTGGATGTATAACAATTAATTATGTAGAGTTTGTGTCCTAAGAAATACGTGAGTGAATGTTCGTACATACATCAGTGTATGTGTATGTACGTATTTTTCACGGCAGAGGGGAAAACGCAGTCTTCCCGAGAGATAACATACTTGTAATGTCCGCTGAAAACGAAAAGTCAGTGAGTGAGTGATATATATATATATATATATATATATATAGAGAGAGAGAGAGAGAGAGAGTTTTTTAGTGTTGAGAGAGCGTCCCCTAGGAACAATTTGGAGAATAAGGAAATTAAGGAGGAGTTAACTCCGACAACACCACACTTAATTCTTTTTATTGGTATTTATTATTAATTATTGTAGGCCTAGTTGTATAAACATATGACAACCCCTACCTACAGCTCCGCGTAGATTAGTGTAATGATGCGAATAACGTAAACCAGAATTTCCGCGCCATCATGTGCATGTTTGCATTATTATTCTGTTTCGCAATGACTTTATGTATATTATATCTGATCATGGAAATAAAGCATTTATGAAACTTTACACGTAGATTTACTAGTTATCAAATCCTCAATTTTCAGAAACATCTTTACCTGTCACGGGTTCCCAAAGGAGTCTTGTACCACCTTGAAAAAATTCTCTTAAAGGACTTGATGGAAAGCGTAATGGGAATAATTTATTCAATCTAATAATAAAGAGTTCAGTTCAAAATTCCGAGGAGGTTACCAAATACGATGACAGATTCCTGAAAAAGGCTGGGAGCAACAACGGTCGAAACGTTGTGTGTATAACGATCAAGATGAACATGCTAGTCCGATTAATGATATAAATATAAGATCATAGTATTGTGACACTCATGAGAATCGAACTCATTACATTAATGAACTGTAAGGTGAACTTGTTAAATATGGTAAGCCAGCTGAAAAGCTTTGTTTGGTGCAAGGCCATAAGTTTTGAGCATCAAGTAAGAATAGAAATCACCATGCAAGCGAATTATCTGAATATAGACTAGAGTAAAATAAAGTTTATATTATACCTTTCTTTTTGTTGCATGTCATTTCAGGACGTAGGCGATCATGGCTCTCCACCTCCCTCTATCCCTATCAACAAGTTCCTTCTCTCTGCTATCTCCCCCAGACTACGTTCTGTCATCCACCTGCTCAGGCCCGCTAGGAATGTCACGCGCTGCTTT